AGACTGAGACCAGAAACTCATCAGGAAACTGTTTACTGTGCTCATTAAAAAACTTCTCCATAAGACTCAATACTATCAGAGTGGAGCTGCCCCCTGCTGGAAATTACATAGAATCCAGGTTTAAGACACTTAACAGACCCAGAAGCTCTGTCCACTATATATATACGGTCAATGGTAGGACAAAACTGCTTGATCTGAACCAGAATACATTTTTTTTGTTCAGGTCAAGAACACCGAAGGCAAAAGATCAATAATTGAACAATTGTCTTGGATAATCAGGTAAAGAGCTTTCTACTGTCCATCAACTGGAGGCTGATGGACAGACCTGGTAAACCCAAACAGGTAGTGAGGATGGTTGTAGTCATCAGCAGGGAGGAGAACTGCTGACCTGAACTGAGGATAATGTCAGACATGGTACAAGAACACTTGGAGGACCTCGATAGAGGGCCAGAACTGTATGGAGTATAGAGGGACCGGGCTATGTCTTTCACAGGATCTAAAGGTGCAGTCGGTATGCTGGTCTCAGGATTTTATCTCTGCTCTTTGCAGATGATGTGGTTCTGTTGGTTTCATCAGACTGGGACCACCATTTAGCACTGGGAGTATGTCAGGGTCTACTTCAGCAGAAGGACAGAAGGAAAGTGGGATTAACAGGTGGATATGGGTCTGGACTCTGTATCAGACTGTGATAGTCAAAAGGGAGCTGACCCTGAAGCTGTGGTCCTGGTCTCTGAGTAGTGTCTGGACTTAAGCTTAGAGACAAGGTGAGGAGCCCAGAGGACCACCACTGCTGGTTCATGTTGAAAGGAATCAGCTGATGTGGCTCAACATCTGATCAGGGGCCCAGGTGCTGCTAGATGTAGTAAGATAGACCTGGACCTGGTACAGGTGTCTGCTGAGGGCACCAAGTGGACAGGTTAGGAATGACAGAAAAGATGAAGAATGAACTACACTCCCCCTGGTGGCTGACTGCAGTATAGCTCATAAAGCCTGCTGCCTCCATGTGAGCATATGGGACAATCAAAGTCAAACAAATGTTTCCCAAGAAGATGGACATTTTCATATTCATCTGAGGCTCAATATTCTTTTTATTTTATTTTATTTTATATTTTTTTATGTTGAGGGTTTAACAAAAATCACATGAAAATGTTACTGTGAGTCAATTAGGTCATCTAATCCCACCCCCCCAGTTTATAGTTTATATTTAGCTGAAGCCTTGAAGCCTCTCAGTTCATGTGAATATCTCTCTCTCTCTCTCTCTCTCTCTCTCACTAACAACATGGATCTGAGGGATTTTGTTCCCCTGACGGTGTCTCCTCAGGCTGAGTTTCCTCCCAGGCTGCATGTGACACATACTAAGCTAATTTAGTCTCAACAAAATAAAGAAAAGAATTCTCCTGAAACAGCAATGATCAGAAACTCTTTTACATTTAACACTGATGCAGACCATCAGTCACCGTGCAGCACCTTAAGGCAGGAAACTGCACAAGTTTAGTACTGGTGTATTTACATAATGTATTTAGTTACATACATAATTTAGTTCTATATAATTTAGTTAGTTACATAATGTAGTTACATCCTCAAGTGGAGAGAAAAGGCTTCTGGTGGAAGGTACACTGTTGTATTTGACGTTTGTATGCTGTTACAGTCCCCTTTTTGAATTCTCTCCCTCAGGTCTCATCCTCCTGTTCTACCTCGTCTTCTACGGTTTCCTGGCGGGAATGTTCACTCTCACCATGTGGGTGATGTTACAGACTCTGGACGAGAATGTCCCTCGCTATCAGGACCGAGTGGCCAATCCAGGTGAGCTCAGTACTGCAGGTTTAACTACATTTCCTGTTTACTCCATATTCATAAAGATCACTAGTCTCATACAGCTCTGGGTGCACACAGATGGATAGAAGTCGGGATAAATCCACTTTTTCATCCCAAAATCTACTAGTGCAAATTATTTTATTTGCATTTGGTGGGAATGCAGCACAATACTCTACTCTCCATGTTTTGATTACAACAACAACAACAACAAGCTGTGCCATATTACAACCACTGCTTCCAAAATCATTGGTGTCCCTACCCCCACCCTCTCACATCTCAGATCTCAATAACAGAGACCTGCATGGCACTTACAGCCCATGACCCTGAATACCCCTCAACCTGTTTTTCTCTCCACTGCCATCTGGCTGCAGATACAGAACACAGAAGACTAAGATGGAAAAAGACAGTTTTGTCTCCTGTTCCAGAGCAGTCCTTACATATATGTGTAGCAGGTCTCTCAGCAACCATGGGTTCCCCTAGCACACAATCAAGCACAACAGATCAATTAACCAAAACAAATGTATTATTTTTTTGGCTGCATTATGAGCACTGACAGGTGAATTGAATATCATATCTGGTTATCATGTCTCCTGACAGTGGGGGGGATATATCAGACAGCAAG